CGAAATCTAGCACGGCTCACAAAGTGTTCAGTTTTGATGTCAAAATTCGCAAAGGCACGCTCAATGTGAATAAAAGAAGTCTCAAATTACAAGGTTCCAAAACTATCAACATTGGCGTGTCTTTCGATTCGACGGGTGCAATCGTTAATCACTGCTCGGTAGAGCATCCATTTAAAGACAATCAACCAAAAACACTGAATGAATTGATTGAATCGACTTGGCGCAAATGCAAAGCAGATAACAAAAATGATAAATTATCAGAAGGTCAAATAGTCCTAGCAAAGATGAAAGGATACACCCCGTGGCCAAGTGTGATAGAAAAATTCACGGCAAACAAAAAGCGCGCGAGAGTCCGATTCTTTGGAACACACAATATTGGATCCGTTGAAATAAAAGAGTCTGTTCGAATGGAAAAATCAAATGAGGTCATACGATTGTTGCTATTAAGATCATTGGACTTTTTCTGGCGTGGAATTCGTGAAGCAGAAGACATTTTAGGCATCGATGAAAAACACTCTCTCACACGAGTGCAACAAGCGTTGAATTAATTTTGTGTTCTGTTGTTTACCTTGTAAGAATTACTTTTTTTTAATTGACGATTTATTTCTTATTTAAATATACAAAAATAACATAGATGAATCAAAATGATGATCCAAAATGAGAATAAAAATTAATTGTTGAATAAAGGAAGTTTGGAATAATTTTGAAACCAATATAAAGTCATTTCTTGCGTTTGTGACATCAATTGAAACTTCAGATTTAAAATACTATTCAACGGAATTTTCGTATTCACATTCTACAACGAAATTCGAAATGTTAAAATCGATTGACATTTAAACATAAACAGATTTGACATTCGGCGCCGGACTTTGTTTATACGAATTAAGAGTTCAATTTCATTCGAGTTGTTCTGCTAGCTAGTTTATCATCATTTTTGTAAATAAGAAACGAACAAAATACAAAAACTTTGTGCAAAAATGGAATCATTTGAAAGTGACACATTGCAATCATTAAATATACCAAAAGTGGTTAAAAGGTATGCGTGCGATGTCGAAAATTGTGTTTATAGTACAATTAAAAAGTCTAATTTATCGCGACATGTAACAGAGAAACACAATGGAGAAAAAAAAACATGTGGTTGTGGCAAACAGTACACGGCATCATCATTGTCTCGACATAAACATCAATGTAATGTAATTTCAAATGGCCAATTCGTGGTGCCAAAGATCGAAACCGTAAAAGGCGCCAAAAATGATAGCTATGGCATAAATGGTATCGATGACAGTGAAATTTCTGAGGTACACGAGCACACAATGGTTATCAAAGTTGTCACCAAAAAGGATGGTTCAGTTGTTTTTGCCTATAATAACTTTAAATATGGTGAAACGGACTATATACTGACACCTCTACAAAATAACAATATCTTAAAAGCAGTCGAAACTGATTTGCCATCACTTGAACACAACGGTAAAAAATCGAAATCTTGAAATAAGTTGTTGTACTTAGCAAATTCGCTTTGTTTACAGGAATTGATCATATTTCCATCGACGATGAATTAATCGTGTATGATCCGATCGAAGATCCTAGTGAAACGAGGGATAAATGGGCAACCGAATGCGTCGAATGAAACATAAAAAAAATCATTGAAATCTCGATTGGTCTTGTAGCATGAAAACTAAATAAAAAAATCTTATTTACTTGAAATGTATGCTATGTGTTGTCTCATTTCATTGCTTTCAATTCTACTATGATAAAGCCGAAATAATTGTTTATTTTTGAATTGCGATTGTACAAACGTTTTTTTTTTTCAAATCAAACACATGACAGTCGCTCCACATTGGATAAACATTGGCTCAACATTGGCTCACCATTACCTCACCATTCCTCGTGTTTATTTTTTTGCCTGCATTTGGATCATCATTTGGCTCACCATCTTTCTCTATGCATTTTATATTTGATAGTTTTGGATATCGCATCGTAAATTTGTGTAATTAGTATTTTATATATATGTAGAAATGGCAAAAAAGGTTGAAAACAAACGAAAAATAACAAAACAATGGGAAAAGGAAGAAATAAAATTGCTAATAAGCGAATTCGAAGTTCGAATTGATTTGTGGGACCCATCACGTCCAAGCTATTCCGATAGGTAAGTTAAAAAATTAAATGTAGCGTATGCATTTAATGTGATTATACTGATTCATAATCTATCACATTTTTTAGAGTTAAAAAGCAGAAATTGCTTGAAGAAATCGGAAAAGTGTTGGGCGTATCAGCCCAAGATGTTTCTGCTAAAATTCATTCACTGAGAACACAGTTCAATCGTGAGTGTGCGAGAGAAAAGAAAATCAAAAGTGGTTCTTCTACTGACGAAAACTACGTTTCAAAATGGGAGCATATGAAAAGTCTTCAATTTCTGAAAATTAATGCAGTGCCTAGTGTGACAACCTCAAATTTGGTAAATTAATTTACAATTTCAAGTGAAACATTTCGGCATTTTTGTGACTTTTCTCTGTTTTACTCAATTCAGGATCAAATTCCTATTGTATTAAGCGATGAATTGTCTAGCGATGCAGTTTCGGAAATAGAGACAGTCACAGTGAGCTCTGAATCGGATACTCAATCAGAATACAGTGAAAGTGGTTCTGGAAATAAGCGGCACCGATTGCCAACGGTTGGTTCGAAAAAAGCAAAAAGGCGAAATGTTGATACAACCGAGAATGCTGTTCTGGAACAGGCATTGGCAGTCATTAATCAAACCAATGACGATCTTGATATATTCGGGCAGTTTGTAGCCTCCGAAATGAGACAAATTTCCGATTTGTCCATTCGAAAATTGGTTAAAAGCGAAATAATGCGAGTTCTGTTAAATTACAGCACATCCGACACCAATCAAATACTTATAAGTACGAGCACATTTCCATTAACAGAATTAAATTCAAACGAATTGTGCACCGATTATATATCTGAATATGAGTTGCTTTAGTCGTGAGAAATTTAAAATCTATTTAACAGTCCCGGTGGTGCTATTACTTTGCAAAATAAAATGATTTAAAATTTTGAATAAAATCTTCGTTAAAAACATGATGATTGTTGTTGTTTATTTTATGAATATTGAGCCAATAATGAGCTAATGATAAGCAAACTTTAGTGGTGTTCGATCAGCAAAAAAAAAAGAAATTGTGCTAGACATTTGTTTACATTGTTTACATTGTTTACATGTTGCCATAAGTGGTCCCACATATGCATTTTTCGTATGTAAATATTTACAATGTTTACACTTAAATTGTTGCCAAATAAGACCACACCCTTAACGTTTGTTTGATGCAATGAATAAATAAAATAAAATCCATTGCCAAATTGGCCATCACTTTTATTAATTTTCATATTAAATATTTTTCAATGCGACCATTCATGTTAAATGAGATGATATTCCGTTTGAATTATGTGCAGTGGAGAGATTTCATCGAAATGCTTGAAGTTTTAATCTTTTCATTATATAGAATCGAATATAGATTTATTGGAGGTAATTTTGTCTTATATACATTATAGTGTGTACGAATCGTACATCGTCGTGTATCACGAGAAATTTGTGGAAAATTTAACTTTATCATCCTCGGTTTTTATGCTCCATGTAATCACATTTACAAAACAAGAAAAGAAATGTACAAAAAGATACAGAAAAAGTTTTTTTTTCCCACAGATTACGTTCTTATTCATGCCCGAAGAGAATTTATTTCATTCAAATGGCGACAAAAACTCATAATAAAGTTACAAAATTTCGACTTGAAGTTGAATTTTACATCCTTTGCTCATAAAGTTTCCGTTGGCATTTCTTTGCTTGCGGTAACGTTCTACCACAATTCTCCGAATTCACTCGGTTCGTTTATGCTTTCATGAGGAAATATGTCCAATGAATAAAGTTGGAACGGAAACAAAAACGTCAACAATTTTACACTTTAAAGCTCGCCTTTAAAAAACGTTAAAAAATATCATTAAATTCTGTTTATGACGAAATAGTGGACTCTTTATATCAATACTTTTAATGGATTTTCATTGATTGTCCAAATTGAATTGAACTTCGTTCAACTGTGGCGCTTAAAATTCATTTTCATTGATTCAAATATAGAAAAATACTCCAGATCACAAAAATGATGTCATATTGTGGTTAATGGTCTTTTTGATAAGTTGCAATTTCCAAATGGATAGTTGAGATCGATAATAATTGGAATTCCAAAATAACAGGTTCAACGAAGAAGCGATATCAATTTTAATTAAAATAAAAAGTTGTAAAATCCTATATGCATTTGGGAATTTCTATCACTCATAAAACCAACACTAAAATGTTCATGTAACCAACAATTTGTGGAAAGAAGTTTACTGGGAATTTTTACAGCTGAAATAGATATATTTTTTTTCATTTTAACTTTTCACTCGACTTCTTCAAAGTCGTGAAATGGCCAAAACTCTCTATCTGTATTTTCGTATTTTCTTGTTACATATAACAATGTAAAATGTACCGAGAATTCATTGTACGATGAGATTTATGCAAATTTAATTCACTTTGTGAAACTTGTTTAGTGACCGAAAGAAAGTTTGATTAGTCGTTCCAGAACTATTTTGTAATTTAATTTTGCTTTGAGCAATTTCCATCCAATGTGGTAAGTATTCCTTTAGTTGCATTCATGATTTGGACGGCCGTCGGCCGCTCAAATTGAGTTTTGTTTGTATATGAAATTTTGGCCTGTAATATGTGGCCATTTTCAGGTATATATCGTTTGCGCCGATGACAAATCAGTCCCTTTCGGTGCATTGTTTTTTCAATCATATATTCCTCAATTTCTGATGAGTTGCAACTAGATTTAATTTTTCATCATTTTAAACGTATGCACTGTGTAATGTTCATGATGCTAGTTTTGTATTGGAGAGCCATTCTTATCGATGTACTGTGCTAGAGTCATATTTGATTCAAACGACATGCAATTCTGTTTAACTCTACTTACCACTTTCCGTTGCTGGATATATATTAAAAGATGGTTCTTGTAGCCATGATATCACCGATACATAGTCTTTAACGAAGGTTGGAATATTGCATTTCATTAGTACGTTGCTGCCAATGAAAGCTGCCGGATTTTGCACTTCCGGATCAAATTGTTGATTAATAACTAAATCGATTTAAAAGCCAGTAGCATGATATGTAGAATACGTCGAAAGATGGCAGCCACCAAGAGCCATGCGATGTCACATCACATCCAGATGCCAGAATAGCAGGACAGGGGAATGCAGCCAGTGGTTGTTGTTGATATGGTATGTCAAACACGGATGTATGGGAATGAAATTTAATTAGTTTTTTTGGTTATTTCAAGAAAATAAATTACATCATATGATATAAAAAAGTAAGAGCTGTGAGAAAATTACGGTGTACATGCACATCATACACTATGCTAAACGGTTAACACTGCGTTGTTTGCAGCATCAGTGCCAGAAACGAAATATGTACAAGCGCAAGCATTTTATACTCAGTGCTTTTGGCGTTCAATAATAATAACAAATAAACGCAGCACATAGCACATAGAACAATAAAACGGCAAACATTAAACGAGCATGCATATACCATCTCGGGTGAACAAACAAGTGCTAGCAACTACAATAGAGATACAGCTAATGCCATAAGCCAATAGTAGAGACGAATGCAAAGTTTGTAAACGAATGCGAGTCGTTATTCAAGCCAAAAGTCAAACTTGAGCTCGAAAGCGAAGTAGCTCAGGGAATTCATGCTGGTATTTTAAATTTTATTTGGTTTTTTTCTTCGTTGGTTTTCCGGCTTCTTTTCGAAACATCAAGCCGATGAAATGTTGAAGTTTAGCAAAGCAAACATTCTCTCGAATTTATTCGCGTGGTGTATTTATGTGAACATTTATTAAACATATTTTCATGTGCAGTAAATAAGTGGTTGAATTGAATTTTACATTGGTGTTGACGTGACTGATGTTGTGCCATTAACAAGCATAGCATGCAAACCAAACCGGAACCATTGAATCCCCATCACTCATGTCTTCTTGTCGTGTCTAACGTTATTTCAAAGCATTTACGTGAAAAAAAGATCAACATTATGTTAAATGCAAGAGAACAAGATCTATCTTGGACTTATTCAAGCATGGCAGTACATTTGTTTTCTGAATAAATGGAAACAAATTCACACATTTGCATTCATCGTTCATTCGCAAAATGTTCAAATATCAATTCATAGTCGAGGTGGTGCTTCTTAGTGTCTTTGATGAACGCATATTAAATGCACGTAATGTGATATTCGTCTTGGTATGGATGCAGTTTTCAACTGATGGAACCCAACCAACGCACTCCAAACATTAACCACATTAGAATAGATGAGAATCTAAGTGCGGAAAATAAACGAGACGTTGGCAAAAACCAACTTTATGTCACATCACCACAAATTAAATAGTACACGTAGATTCGGTTTTCCGGGCACAACGAATTATTTCAGAATCCATTTAAATAAATATTTAACCCAACGTATAATTACATTTGAATATGAGAAATTTCATCACGAATGGTACATGAGCTTTTACGACCGTTTCGGATTGGTAAAATCAAGTTCTTACAATTTATTGCAATGTCTCTAGTAAACCATATTAAATTTCCTATTTTTTGTCTTTATTAATAACACTTCGTTTCGGTTATGCGTGCGAATATTTTTCAGAATTCAAATATCACCATTTTTGCAGCATGTTTGGGGCTATTTTCATAAAATTTGTTTAGTACATTACAATATATAAATTATGCATGTAAAATTCGATGCACAACAGTTTCCTATAGTTTTTTCCTTCCGCTCATGGAGTAAATTAAATTAATTACGTGCTGGTTTTTGAATTTTCATGAAAATGGATTTTTAATCAAATGCACCGTAAAATGAAAGCAAATGTCCTCGTTGTACTTTGCACATCGAAACAGTACTAGCAAAAGCTTTCACTAGCAACTGGGTGCAGTTTCGATGTAGTCACAATAAAATAGTCCGATATATATAAAGTGATGCTAAAAAGGTGTGTTTGATTGAAAAATACTAGGTGCTGTTAAATACTTGCAGGGAAGAGTATATTTTTTGTTTAATTTTCTACTCTAAAAGGAATTCAGTTTGAAAGAGTTCAAATAAATATTTATCGTAAATAATTTAAGTTGAATGTTTCAATAAATGGATTTCCGTGATTTTAATGCAGTAACCGGTATGATTAACCGTTTATTTTTTATTTAATTTTACTAAAAGTCATTCTTTTCAAGATTCCAGAAAATAAAGTTGGCATGTAACAATTTACTGCGGTTGAAGTAAAAGCGACTACTTTATCACAAGATATGTGACAATTAAAATGGTACCATTTTCTTTGTCTTCAGAATCAGTCTGCTGATTACGTGATGACACCATACCAGAGACTGTTGCTCAGAGCAGAACTCTGAGGAGGAGTAGCTCTGAGGAGCAGTGCTCCTCCTCAGTGAGGAGCAAAAATAAAATTTATTCATTTTAATTATTATTAAAATTATTAAATTATAATTAAAATGAATAAATTTTATATTTGCTCCTCACTGAGGAGGAGCACTGCTCCTCAGCCTGCTCTTGCTCCTCAGAGTTCTGCTCTGAGCAACAGTCTCTGCACCATACCAATTACTTTTCATTCACACATTTCGTTTAATGTATATTTAATACAGTAATGTGCGAAGGGGAGGTGGGGTTTACCCCCTCCTGTGACTTCAAAATTCATCCGCTTTGCTAGGCATTTTCGTCCGAAACGAAATTTTTCTCGATTTCCTAGGATTTTTTGAAGAAAATTTTGAAATCACTCCCTGGAAAATTTTACTCGTACATTACTGATTATAATGAATATATGAATATGACAAAAAGATTGTACGTTTTTTATCGGATTCTGACGCCAAATGAGAATATGTTTTTGAACAGAATGAATAGTTTACGCGGAGTATGTATTTCGAGCTACTTAGTTTGTCACAAAAGAGAGTAAGTTCAATTTATATAAATGTTGCACGAGAAGGTTTAAAAAAAATTGGGAAATAGAGTTATTTGCCAGCATAAAAAATTATATTGTAGATTAGAACAAATATATGAATATCCACGGATTAGAACAAATTTATGTTCAAGGCACATATTTGTTGATTTGGTACAAATCCAAAGTGTATGCAGATTTTGAATATAACACATCTCATAACTGTTGCCTTTACAAATGAAGTAGCTCTGTTTGGAAGAGTAAGTAGGGGGTTAACTTAATGTTATTATACATTTAACTTTCTCTACTAAAGATATTATACTTTTGAAATGGTTTTACTTTTTCTACTTTTAAAATTGAGAAAACTGTTAAAAACACAATTCCTAAACTTTTTATATTAGTAATTTTATTTATTTTAATCTTTCTACCACATTTTCTTCCGTAATTTTTATGTACATGTTTTTTTTTAATCAAAGTCAACGGAATTGCATTACATCTGAGGTCTCTCAACTAAGTTGATGAATAATTCGCTTTGAATGAACTATGAAAATGTAAATAGGAACAAAACCGAAAAAATTGTTAATTTTATTATTATTTAAATTCAAATTTCGAGTGTAGAACGTAGAGGGTATTATGTATATACATATATATTTAGTGTTTACAGTGTTCATGTTTGAATGGAGTTTGTTGTACATACAAAAAGTGAAGAACTAGATATATTTTCTCTTCGGTTATAGTCATTTTGTGCCACAGAAACCAAAAAAACCACTCACTCACTCATTCACTCACGAGCGGTAACCATTTAGTGTATTTTCTCGGTTTCACTTGTGCTGTCGCTAACAATTTATAAAATGTATTTTGTGCAATATTTCTCTCTCTCCGTTTTGAGCTCACGTTGCTAAGTCGCTGTTTAAACGTGCACTGGGTGTCAGCCTAAAGTGTGTGGGTCTGAAGTAATATTGCAGATGGAAAACACTTTTTTATAGTTCATTCATTTGTCGTTGTTCGTGCATTGCTGCCTTTCGTTTTTAATTCAGTTTTATGAACGTTTCTTCTTTCATTGTTTTTGGAGTGCTTTTTTTATTTTCTTCTTCCTCTCTCGCAACATACATGAACAAAGTATATAAAAAAGATTTTCGTCGCATATTTTCAGCGAAATGTTTTCCACAAAGTCAGAGTAAATTAATGATTTTTTTTTCCAGCAAAATTGCAAACAGACAAACCAAACTTTGTGTTGTCAAACAACTATTTAAACCGAAAAAAAGGTGAAATGCTTTATATTCAATGTGCAAGGAAACATCATTCTATGCAATTCAATTTCAATATAAAAATTCCCATTCTTTTTTCCATAGAATATAACTTTTTTTGGCCGCAATATTTTGAATACTAGAAAATATTCCATAAAAACACAATTCATTTTGTTCGACATTTTAATGCCATCACTGCTTTTTGCACAACATTTACCAATATTTTGCCATGTTGTTTTGACACAGTGAAATATCAAGGAATATCGATAAATGGTGCTGCACAAAGCATAGACAAAATTAAAATACCACATTGATGATTTTTATATTTTCTTCTCCTCTGGGTAATAGTTTGTTTGATCGCCGTTCTTTTCAACAAATTAGAAACATCTGCAAAACCTGTGTTTGCTTTTATTTCAATGTATCTGACGTGGGTGTACTTCGTAAAATATCGAAATATTTTGGTTCGTGAAAAATTCCTCTGATTACTTATTTACATACATCGGTGTTAATATTAAAATGCGAAACACACGAAATATCAGAGAAAATACTCTTGGGTGTTTTTGGGCACTCGACGGTATTCAAAGATGTTTATAAACAGCTCAAAAAGCTCGCGCAATGTGGTCATTTAAAAGGGTCCACGAATTCCAAAGAATAGGTATAAAATACACGCACCATTTATATAATGATGCCTCATATGGTAAAATGTGTGAAAAATGCAAAAGTGGTAACAACACTCCATCACTGTAAGTAATGACGCATACTCCCAGGCAACCAAATGTGCTTCATAAAGTTTGTTCATTGATTTCTGACCAAACGAGCATTACAAAAGAAAAATTTGTTCTGATGAAATGTAAATCACCAACATTGGTTTTATATACACAATTTGCTGCTTGGGATTATGGCCAAAAATGAATGTGGCAAAGTGTTTTAATACAGTTGAAAATGAAACACAGCCGATGAGAATAATGCGAAATATTTGTGCAGGTAACCGAAATAAAAACGTGGGACAAACAATGAATGTAAAGCTCGTTGTATGTTTAGCTTAGCACGATACTACTAGTTCCTTTATGTCATGGTATACCATCATTCATAGCGGTTTGAATTAAAAGCAAAGCATCGTTGTGAACAACAAAGGGATTGTGATATTCGTATATTTGCATTTGTTTTTGAGTACAGGTACGTGTTCTTTGGGTTTGAGTCGTAAAAACCAAATAGATGTATGCCATTCATTTAGAAACCGAATGAAACTAAAACGTTTATTTCGAATAACATTACGATATTTACTTATAAATGAGGGTACTTCAGGGAGAACAGCTACATTATCTCTAAAAAGCATGCATATCTAACGCGTACTTGTGGGTAAATGAAGACATTTCACAATTGATTATGACTTGAATTCACTTTTTGTGAAATTTTCTCTTACCCGCTTTTATAGACAGGTCTCTCGATATGATTGTGCCACCTGCATTTGATGCAATACATTTATACACAGTCCAATGTACATCTTGACGAAAAGCAGTCGTATCAAATTTTGGAAAATACAATGAACCATTCTCCAAAATGTGGCGAATCTGTAAAAGTAAAATCCATTAAATCGTATCAGTTTAACAAAAGTTATTTTGAAAAAAAAAAAAAAAAAAACCTAATTCCAACGAGAACAAAACAGTAATGTTTTATCAGCGGACGAGTCGTTGTGGCAAATGGTATAGAAGTGAAAAATCGATTAAAATTTATAGGAACGTCAATGACAATAGAATTTCATACCGAACTAGTTTCATATTGATAAAATCATTTACAAATTCTATAAAATTGGCTCAGTATTGCAATATTCATGTGATTAGCTGATGCAAAGCGAACATTTCTTGCTGTGTGTGCCATGCAACGCATTGTTATGTAAAATATCGATTGTGTTTTACTTTGCTCTTGATACTGAAGCCGTATTCAATTAAATTGCATGCCAATGCATACAACATTCCGATAGCTCAGATTCAGCAATCATTGCACCGGTTACGTAATTATCGGATGGAGAGAATTCATAAAGATTTAAAGTCAATCCAAAGTTTTTGAATATTTCATGCAGGAAATCGATTTCTACTGAATGGAAATATAATGTTTAATGAAAAGCAAATATAATGTGTGAGCTTCGGAACGTAAACGCATTACTTTATTTTATGAACGAACAATTTCCAATAGCTATTTGGCGCCAATGATTAACGATTATATTTCCTATCAAATCGTTCACAATACATTACATAAACTTAGCTACGAAGTTAACCGAGGACTTTTCTTGGATACACCTTATAATATAGTGCTTCATTTTTATGAATATGGCATTTTATGTAATCGCATTGTTATCTGAAGTTGTCGCATGGAAAGATGCATTTTGATCGAATATTTTGTAATTTATATTTTATATGAAATCATTTGAATGTTAATTCGATTATTGATATGCTTGTCAATTAATATATTTCAATTGAATTTATTTTTGTTATGTATCGTGGTCGGCAAATAAATCGGATGACACTTTTTGTTTATTTGTTTGTTTTTTTTTTCGTCGGTGTATGAACAATACTCACTCTTGGTATGGTGGTAACAGGAGTATTATCCAGATTCAGCCATTCGATTTTTGGTTTTGGTGATCCTTTCGCCTGACATGGAATTAGATTATCGACAATATTTGTAAATTCTAGATGATGTGGTGGTTCAATTGTAAACGTTGGCCCTTGGATATCATACGGATCTGCCATTACGCAATGATCTGTAAAAAAAAACGTTTAGAAAATTAACCAAAAAAAGTGAACAATCAAAATGTATCATTGAAATCGAAAATCATTGTGCGCTCAGCTGAACACATGGGTCTTCAATTATGGAATATACATTATACACATTGGGAAATTGTTTATCTCGCTTTGCTTTTAGTTTACCATCTATATGTTGCTTGCATTTTGTACAAATAGAATGATTTGTTGAACAATATTTGGATATTCACAATCGAAATTCATAAATTAATCTGGTGACCTACTTAGACGGAAATTCTCATTAAGCACGATAGGTATTTGAATTCAAATTGCAATTGAATGAACGCATCAACCGCTTTATGAATAAATATCGGAATTTTCAGTGCGTCTCTCTCACTTTGGTATATCTGTATATGACGGCAGGTGGTGGTGATGGTGATGGTGATGGTGGTGGCGTTAATAATGGCAATGAGGTTTTTAGTTGAATTATATCGAGTAAATAACATAAAACAGACTTTAAGCCTTTATGAAATTTCCGAACCAAAACACACGAGCAATTTAAATCGCAAATTTGATAAACTTTTGCCTTTTCATTGGAATTTTACAATCTTGACATCCTTCGTTGGCACTGAATGTCTGTTTTTATCCATAAATCGTTTATTATAACATTTATTTTGAATGGTTTATGCAATTAGATAACGGTTAACATTTCGTAATTATGTGCATACATTTTTAATGAACCATTTATCTTTATAATACATAATATGGTTTTTAAAGTGATAAGTGTGTGAATTCTCGGCGCTTCAGAGACCGGATGTGAGACCACAAATTAACCCACATTCCATCTGAGACGTGCAGAGTATTTAAGTCAATTATCGACATCCTCAAATGTATTACGTGTCCGAGAAACTAACGAATTTTATGCCAATAATGTTTTTCTGAGTAAAATGTAATTTGAATCCGTCCCTTTTTCGCTCGAATTTTCCATGACAAAGGGAAAAACGAGAAACTCTATTGTCAATGGACTGCTCAACTTATCTTTTCTCGACTTTCAAAGCTTATTGAATCCATAAATAATTTCGTTAAATTTCCAGAATAAAGGATGTGAAGATTGAAGCGTAATGCAGATAAGCAAGCTATATATTAAATGCGTTCACAATGATTTGTACCCATCATTTGTAGCCAACTGCATTTTATATGGACATTGTACAAAGCATTTGAACGACAATAGTGGTATTTCAGTTACATTCAACGTTCTTTTACTGACAATCAAGCATGAAGATTCCATGGATAATGATTTGTTAGCGGAATGTTTGCTTCATTGGTTTTGTCAATCGATTGAATATGTTAATCGAAACACGAACGTAAATTGTTCTAATCAAGTATACGTTCGTGACATGGGGATTAATCATGTTTTTTTCTCTCTTCTCACATAACTTCTGCAATGCCATTAACAAAACTCACACAAACACACATCAGCACAACATTTGAATAACTATTCGAAATTGAAATCAATAAAGCTTTGGTTTGCAATTGTATTTGAACGGAAATTCCAATCAAATGCAAATTTATGTTGATCAATGACACAAATAACCAATAAATAAGGATATTGTATAATCCACAGTACTAATCTCTATTGCATTCATTACAACTATACGAATACAATGCAATTCGCTTGAATCGTTGATTAAAATGTGGATTTGATTTTAAAAAGGCGAATAAAATGGGGCGTGGTGGAATTAATTCAAATTTCGAAACTTCGATTGGTTTCCACACACAAAAAAAAACTTTGGTTAATTAAACAAACGCTGACAAATGATAATATTATTTATCGAAACGTTTCATGCTTATGTACTCGGTCTTTCATTACCATGTATTTTCAGTTGAAATATCAAACAACTAATTACTTTAATTATAGTACAACTATAAATCGATTTGACGCCTTATAAAATTTGATCAAGTATCAATTGAAAATTGTCAGAAACTAGTTAAGCATGCATTTTCAATTCAATTAATATTAATAAAATGCATAAAATTTCTGCTCAATTCAATTTCATTCGCATGATATATTATCATTGGTTTCCGATGATAACTTGGTATTGTTCATTGAAAAATATAGCTCAAATAAAGAGCAAAATGAAGACTGTACTTGCAGCCAGCTATGCATATCGTGTACTGAATCATTTCGTTTCCGAGAACGAAACGGGCTTGAGTTCGGTACTCGTATAGCATATATGCCATCAAAACAATACACGACCACTGATTGCGATAGTGAATCAATGTAGAGCGAACAGATCTGAACATAAAAACTCACTTTGACTTCTTTCCATCATACACTCGAAGTTATTATAATAATGTCGACATCTTAGACTAAGTGAAACGGAAAAAGGCAATTTCCTTGTGATAAAATACCATGAATACAATCCAATTTTATTCAATGACAACCATTTGACTGTGAGTGTGTATGGAAAATATCCTTTTGCTTGCCGCATGAAGGCAAGCCACACAGAAGATCGTTATACAAAACGATATCAAAATAAATGAAGTCGTAAAAATAACAACGAAACTTAGAACAGAAAAAAAGTCATTATTCTGTTGGTTTTCTTTATTGACTATCAATTTTGTTCAAACGAACAAGATTTTTTTTATCCGTTTATATTTTCATGGCGCAATTTTATCTTGCACTTATTACGTGTGGAAAATTCTATCTCTTTCAATTTTTTGCAATTGAAAATCTAAATATTACTTTTATTTCTTTCCATATGCTTGTGGTTATCATATTTCTTGGTTAAAATGAATTGACTAAAGACAAACAATCCAAACTTAATATGTTTTACGTTTTTGTATGTTGTTGTCGTTCACTTAGATAAACGGTCGGAATGCGGGTCGGAATTGTCTATGTTCATTTCATCTCGAAAATTACATTTCAATGGCGTCCTCTTTGGTTTTAGTGAATACATACTACGAATGTTGAGTAAAATGTACTAAAAGCGTAGAATAATTTTTTGTACAAAACTTTGTTGATAAAACATACTACTATCCGTCTACTATTCCAACTTTTACCATCGACGACATTACTATCAGGCTATTCGATCTTGAAGTATTTTGTGAACGCCAGTGTTGCTTACTCCTGAAAGAATAGTGGCTGATACATGTAACTTCTTCACATTGGTTCATTCAAAATGATAAAAGTGTGAACATAAATACCAACAAGTCAAAGTTATCAATTTTTTTTTCATTTAGTGAAAAATTAGTTACACACTATACGAAAACGTATACACTAGTTCCATTTAAGCAAGCGTCTAGATGCATCTGATGTGAAATACAACTTGCGAAGTAGCAGTGAAACGAGGGAAAAAGTTTCACGAGTTAATTTTGCACTTAAAACTTTCACAAAAGTTTCGAATATTGTTTAAAAACTGAAAGATGTAGGTTCTCATTCGTCAGCCGGACAATTTAGCGAACTGCATACTCTTTATTTATCAAGGTATTTCGAAAGCAATTTTTTACCCAAAAAAAAAAAAAACAAAACAATAGGATTATGGTGGAATCTGTGAATGCTGTGAGCAACTTCGTTTGAATATTCAAGTGACATTTTTGTTAAGTTTGTATTTAACTGAACCAGCTATTATGAGTGAGTGTAACTTGTTGAATAAATTAAACATTTTGATATTTTGATCCATAAATTAAATTCCACTCGAACCCGAAATGTTTTGCGCAATTTATAAATAATCAGAAAAAAAAAATATTCCAAATTAATATTCAACAAACAATTTCGGTGAATTTTTCATCAGTAAGCAAAGATGTTGTGATCCCATCTGACAATTGTGTGATACGAAGACGATACATTAAACTTTGGAATGAAAATGAAAAAGTAATCGAACTTATAAAGTTCAGAAATCTTACACTTGCCTGTTAAACCATACTATGCATAGCATGGTGTTCATCTTGTTCCGAACGCTGTCGTTTTATTTGCAAAATAATGCGAATGCTTGTACATTTTTCACGCATTGCCCCCCGCCCAATAAATCAAAATTACTCTGGTCATAGTGTTTTATGGTGGAAGTTCGCCAAATGTTTCACACTAGACGAACTCAATGGCACAACAAATTCGAAGGGAATATAATTCAAACTTCAAGTAAACTTTGCAATTGGCAACTATTCCAGTCGATGCTGCCATTTTCACAACATTCATTTTCGGACAAAACCAAAAACTCATTAAAACTACATTTATAAATACATTTCCATTAGAGACTATTTTCTCTCCATTTTTGTTATTTATAAATGTCTATGCGCTCGTTTGCAGATCTATGTTTTCTCCATCGTTCGATTGCCGCCACTTCATCCATTCTGATGACGAGAAGTTTTCGAAGCCCAAAGTTATTTCGCAATATCTCATTTTAGTAGATCGTTACCACTTGCTATTTACGAATGCAGAATTCTTCATCAATCGAAACGAAAAGCGCAGCTCCACATGCGACCACAAATGCAATTATAGAGTTTCGACCATTGTGAGTATATGAACTATATTCGAATGGATACGTATACATATTTTTCACGGATGCTTGATTATTGTGAGAAATAGCAGACTTCAAATCTCATGGATTTTCACATTTAAAAGAAAGCACCATGAAAATCATGCAAAGTCCATTCATCTGAAAGTTTCAAATGCAGCACTTTTACAATTGGCATGAAAGTACCGTATAATTAGAAATTGCTTAAAGTTTTTTAATTGTACTCAATGATTTCAAAGAAGAAGTATTTGAAAATCCATTTTTTGAGTTGAATTGCAATTTAAAAGGAGAAAAATGCATTTCTTTAGGGCAACATTTTCCATACTAATCGAACTGCGCTCCATTTCCATAACGAAGTTTAAAGTAGTTTATAATTTTTCTTTTCAATGGCTGCCAAAATACAATTACTAGAATGCTGCCGTACAGTCGTACCATAACGATCAGTTTTGTTGGTTGGACTGTAATTAATAGTTTATTTTGTTTGTTAATGGCGCTAATGACCTTTT